CAGACATACACTCCCTGAAAAGAATGGCTAGGTCTTCTTTACTAATACCAGGTAGGGAATTTGCATTGGCCAGCCAATCCAGAGCATTCTCTCTGTTCAGTGGTCCAAGGGCCTTTCCCACCACACAAGCCTGTTCCGGGGAGTATGTCTTGAGTTCATGCTGCATCTCTAGTGGCTGAGATGAGTCAGGACTGTAACTAATTACAGTGGTGGTGATCGGTGTCCTGGGTAGCTTACTCCCCTCCTGGACTCAGTTCAGGGGGAGCAGAAGGCTGCTTACTTCGCATTACCTCCCTCGCCTCCAACTGCCTACGTGATCTGCAAGGCGCACTACATTCAGAATCATCTGAGCTGGAGCTGCTGGCCTTTTCTGAGCTCTTCCTCAAGGGATTCCTACTAACCACCCGTAGGAGACCCCGAGTCTGCTGCAACTTGTAACGCAGCTTTTGGAGCTCAGCCTGGCAGTTGGAGTGCTCTGCCTGCTGAGATTGGCTAGAGCAAAGCTTCTCCATCAGTTCCCTGATGGCTGCCTGGATCTCCTATTGCTTTACACCAGCAAGGTAAAGCTCCTTTCTTTCTTAGCAACCAGATCATTTAGGTCCCGGACTTGCCCATCCAGCCTGCTGATCTGGGCTATATAGCTGGCATTCTGTTCCTCAAGGCTCTCCATTTGTCTGCCAATTTCTCTACCTCTGATTCTCTGGTCTTTACCTGCTGCTCCAACTCAGCCACTTTAGCTTCCTGAGCTTTTCCAAACTCATGAAGCTGCCTACATGCTGCATAAAGACCATAGATCAGTGCCCGCTTCTGCTGTTTCTTATTGGGCTTAGGTTTCTCTTGGACGTACTTCTCCCAGATGGTAACCAGAGTGGAATAAGCCTCGCCTCCCTTGAGTAGCCTCCCTACACAAGGATCCTGCCCTTTCCCAAGAAATCCACACAAAAGACAAGTGAAATTTTATTATGCTCCAGAACCCAACCGGATGCTCCGAAGGCCTGAGTACTCATCTCAAATGACGTAGTCTCGAACAGATATGGGCCGAGACTCTCACAGTCCCCCTACCGCAACCTCACTTGGTTACGGCACCGTCGGCGCTCAGTGGTGGCTGAGTCTTGCTGACAGATAGCAGCATGGCTTCTGCACAGGCTAGGGCTCTGCCTGCACTAGCTGAGAAAGGATCTCTCCTGCTATGATGTCCAGTTTGCAAATTAATTCCAATTCAGCAGTCTCTCATTGGAGTCTGTTTTTGAAGTTTTTTTATTGAAGAATTGCGACTATTAGGTCTGTAATCGAGTGATCAGAGAGATTGAAGTGTTCTCCAACTGGTTTTTGAATGTTATAAGACTTGACGTCTGATTTGTGTCCATTTATTCTTTTATGTAGAGACTGTCTGGTTTGGGTGGAACCAATGTGATACTGGAGATAGGAAGAAGCAGGAGCTGCAAGCCTTAGCAGGCAAAGACATAGAGGAAGAATTGGTCCTAGGACCAATCCTATTCAACATATTCATAAATGATCTGGAGAAAGGGGTAAACAGTGAGGTGGCAAAGTTTGCAGATGATACTAAACTGCTCAAGATAGTGAAGACCAAAGCAGACTGTGAAGAACTTCAAAAAGGTCTCACAAAACTAAGTGATTGGGCAAAAAAATGGCAAATGAAATTTGCATAAATGTAAAGTAATGCACATTGGAAAAAATAACCCCAATTATACATACAATATGATGGCAGTTAATTTAGCTACAACTAATCAGGAGAAAGATCTTGGAATTATCATGGATAGTTCTCCGAAGACGTCCATGCAGTGTGCAGCAGCAGTCAAAAAAGCAAACAGGATGTTAGGAATCATTAAAATGGGATAGAGACTAAGGGGGAAAGCCCACTAGATATGTTCTGAAATCTACGTTTCTCCTATTCCACCATTGCAGATTTATTTAAAATGTGGTTTTACTCTCAAAATTATGTAAAAATAGCACCTTTTCACTTCACTGATTACTTCCCTGTGTGTGTGTTCAGAATTGTATTTGCTAAATTTTAACATGATTCACTTGTGCAAGCATTGCAGAGCCAACATGGGTAAGAGAATAGGGTGGACTACTTCCTGGTTTGTAGATTAATAATATTGTTAAGAACCAGTAGAAGGGCCATATTCTGCCCATACACCTATGTACCATCATTGACATCAGTAGGATTGTACAGGTGTAAACGAAGACAGAAATGACAGAAAAAATGAGTTTGATAGATGTATCTGAAAGCAGAACTTGAACCACAGAATCTTTATTATTGATGACGAGGCATGAGCCAGAACACACACAGCCTGGCTGTCTGTTTCCAGATGAGTTAAAGGGGCTGGTAATTTAAAAAAAAAAAAAAAAAAACAACTTGGAGACTAGGCCAATATGATTTAGAAGTCACTGGAACACAAGAAATATGGAACCCCATAATGTCATTTTAACAGAGTAACTTTTCAGAGTAGAACTGCACTTAAAGACGAAGTGGAATTAAATACAACTGGAATATTTATTTAAAGGAATTTATTTTACTCTAACCGAAGTACAGATTTCTGTCCTTTTTTTCCATATTGAAATCCACTGTTTAATCATACTTGGCCCCCAATATTCTCTGAAGAACAGACATCAACAGCAGATATCGTCTAGATGGGGAACACTGGCCCATAGAGAACAGGGACATGAGGCGACTGAACTACAACTCCCAGGAGGAGCTGGATTGGCTGTTAGGCAAGGAAACGTCAACTGGGACTGGAGGAGCAAAATAGAATATGAACCCCCTTCTCCACTGGCTTATGGGCTGATCTAATGCTCACTGAGATGAGTGGGCATATCTCCACTGACATTAGTGGGCACTGAATCAGGCCATCAGAGAGTATCTGTGCACGTGGGTGTGAGTGAGTAGAGGCACCAGCTGAGTGGTGGAGAATTCTGTTTGTTAGAAGCGGGTGCAAATTTAATGAATTTATTTTGTGGGACAAGACTATGATACAGGAGAATTAACGGATACATTTTGTTTGGAGGGAGAGGAAATGTGTGATAAAGCAAAGTATAAATTTGTTTGTGGAACTCTAGGGGACCTATTTCAAATGTGATGGGGTGGCATATCCAAAAATAGTTATGCCACTATATGGAAATGTCAGCACCATTTTCACTTTTACTGAAGCAACTCTTTCCACCCAAGATATGGATAAACATGTCAATTTTCCATATACTTTTAAAGAGTATTAAGTGTAATATAAAGTCATACAAACATTAAAGATATGGTGCTAACTTTACTCTCCAATGCCCAAACAATCTCTTAGCTAATTTAAATTGCTGTTGCAACACTGTCTTTGCATTGGGAAACACATCTATTCTCATATTTTACGATTATTTTCATAGTAATCCTTAATTATTTAAACTTCTTTCAAAATATTTGGGGTCAGAGTTGGGATTCTAACTACGAACAAAATATAATCTGCACCTGTGTGTTACCTCATATTCTACTAGAAAGCCCCGTTTTTTTGTTCCATTAAATTTTAAAGAAAAAAATCAAAGCCCAATGTGCAAGTGGACCACAGGGTTGCCAGCTGTGGGGTACAAAAAAATGGGACCTGGGGGCAAGTAGCCTGGACTGGCAGGGGCAGGGCGTCTAATTGATGCTTCCTGTATATTAGAACGTTTAAAGTGATGATGAGCTGAAGAGCATGGATTGGAGAGCACTGAGTCATTGAAGGGCCCTGCATACTTGGGTCTGGCTCCATTTTCTGCACCTCTGTCCCCCCAACCCAGGTTTGAGGAGAGCACCTGAGTCTCCTCATCTCTAGCCTTCCCTGTAGCCAGTACCCCCCACCCCACTGTGAAAGATGCTGTGCTCCCTCCCACCCCCAGGGAACAGATTCATCAGGGGACCAAACCAAACCCTTTACATAGAGGAAACCCAGAGAGAAAGGCAGCCCCAGGGCTGGGGAACAGGAGGTGACAAAATGTTCCAGAATGATGTAGAGATTTCTCAGGACAACCCTGGGAAAATCTGGACAAGTGCCAATCCTAGGGGAGTTCTAGGCCCAGAAACAAACATGTGTTGCATGTAGGGTGACCAGATATACCGATTTTATCGGGACAGTCCCGATATTTGGGGTTTTGTCTTACATAGGCCCCTATTACTCCCCACCCTCTTCCCGATTTTTCACACTTGCTGTCTGGTCACCCTAGTTGCGTGTTTATTTCAACGAGGAGGCAGTCATCAAACACAAGTGTTTTATTCGACTGTCTTTTTTACATTTTATAACATGATCAAATAGAAGTCTTTTGTCTTGTTTTCCTTTCCCCCTATTAAAATCTTGCATCATGCATCAATTTATTTTTATGAATCATTATAGTCAAATGATTTGTAAAAATAAAGTGATATATGGTATGAGATTTTCTGACTATATACATTAATGAAATGTTATATCTGAGACTGCACAAAAATTAGGAAATTCATGCTATCATAAGAAAGGTAACTCTGTTAATGAGGACCCCCATCCTGTGATTGAATGTCTGGGAGTGAATTTTATTGGGACTTTCCACCCCGTAAAGTCAAGCACATGAATAAGGGGCACAGGCTTGGGCCCTAAAGTTGTTATGGTTTGTTTGTGGCCCCAGATATAGGCTTGGAAGTATTAGCTTTTTAATGGTAAATGTCAATTTTTCTGTACAAATATTTCCATTGATAACAGAAATATACAGCGAGGCAAAGTAAGAAAAACGCTGTTTGGGAACTTTATAGAGCTTGTTTTAAAGATGATTACTGTGTATATTTTGACATATGCGGGGTTGACAATTTGCATTTTAAGGGGTATACAACTTTAACTTTTTGAATCTCAAATCTACTATCATTCAACAACCACTGTCTGATCCTTCCCCCCCCCCCATAGTTTCCCTGCAACTGTGAAAATGTAGATCAATAAAAAGTTTAGACCCCATAATTTTGCACAACTGTGCACATTTTAACTAGAAAAAACGCTGACCTGTAATCCACACTAGGAGAGAGCGAGATTGTACCAACTGAATTGGGCCCAGCCTCTCCCAAGCACAGGGCGCAGAGCGACGCCCGGCAGGGAGAATAGGGGCTGGGCTCTGCCGGGCCGGGGGCGGCAGCCTGGGCAGCGCCTCTCCGCGGGTGCGGCGCTGGGGCCCTCGGAGCCTGGCCGCGCTGCGGGAAGCAGGCCGGGCGCTCGCTGTCCGGCTGGGGGGGTCTCCGTGCTGGGTGCGCCGGGGTGAGGAAACTCCCGGCACGTGGTGAGGCGGGGCCGGGCCGGGCGCTGGTCGCTGTCTCTGTCCCGCCGCCGCTTCGCCCCTGGCCGCAGCGCCCGCTCCGGCCCCTCCCCGGGCCGCCCCCCGCGCTCGGGTCCCAGCGGCGCCGCCTCCTGCCCGGCTGTGAGGTGAGAGCGGCTGGTCGGTGTCTCCCCCCAACCCCCCCGAAGGCCCCCTGTGGCGGCCCGGCCCCGGTTTCGGTTTCGTTTCTGCCCCGGCCGGCCCCATCCTGCGGGGCCTGCGGGCCCGGGCTGCGGACGCGCCTCCCCGGCGCCGGGGAGCGACCGACCCGGGGGGCGACGCGTGGTGGGGGCGGCAGGGGGGGTGAGACGGGGGCGTGATGTGTTGTGGTGGGGACGCGCCTGGGGAGCTCGGTGGGGGCGCTGGCGGGGGGGAGACGAGACACGTTTCTCCGCCTCCCCTTCCTATTGCCAGAGCTGTGGGCGGCTCCCGCGGTACGTGTCTCCCCCAGGGGCTCCTGTGTAGCCGGGACTTAGGGGTGGAGGCGTTTGAAGTGGGGACTTATCCCGCTGTGGAGGTAGGGCACCTCCCCATCGGGGTCTCTGCGGCTTGTCCGTGCCACGGCAGTGATTTTTGTGAGGAGTTAGAGGTACAGTCGTCCGAGTTGGGTGCCAGTCCGACAGTTCAGTTCGTGTCTGCCCTGCAACGTTTCCAGCATCACAGCTGTGTCGGGATATCTGCCTCTAGCGTGCCACATACCCCAGTTTGTATCGCTGTAGTCTGGGAAAGTCCATGGCTCCTCAGCAGCGACTACTGCTTGGCGGACATGCAGCAGCAGCAGCCAAGGAGCAATGCGGTCTGAGCTGCGCTGTCCCCCAGAGACCTCCGAAATGTACTTCCAGAGAAAGAGTTGGGAGTCCAGCCCAGTGCGATGAGTGGGTTACAGCAGTGCTTCCTCAATTCTAGAAGCTCAGCCTCACTTCAGGAAAATGAAACCAATTGTGTTCCTTCAGAGCCCTGGCATGTGGTGGTACAGGCCTTCACCTCTTCATTTATTAATTGCCTGTGCCCCTCAGGGTAGTACCTGGTGCCCCCATTTTGAAATGCTGAGTTACAAGAAGATATCCCTCTGTAAGGGTTGAAACACTGTTAGCTGTCACACTTACTGTGTTTTAACCATGTGGTACGTGCACACAATCCGTCAACTTCTTTGCTGGCATAGCTGAATGGAGTTACACCAGCAGAGAATATGATCCCATGTTTAGTACTCTTCATGCCACTAACTGGTTACAAGCTCAGCTTGAAGTTGTAATGTGAACACCTTGTGATTAAAATTTTTGGACTTATACCTCTCTGAGGAAGATCCCTGTTGTGTGACATAGGTTGTATTGCTGTATAGCAACACTATTAGTAACATGTAAACAGTATTTTAATTTGATTGTTGCTGCAGAGATAGGATGGTTTGAGGCCACTTCAAAATATGGCCCTATAAAACTAAATAAAAATAGTAAGTACGTACATTTATATTTACTTACTTGGTGATGTAATACAGTTGATAAGATATATGTGTGAATGTAAAACATGAAAACAGCACTGTATACGCAACAGATGTTCAAGTTTATTACACATTGTAACTTCAGTATATGAGTGGAAAGGAGTCCTGATAGGCTTCAGCAGAAGTACATGAGTATGAAACTTTGCAGGTGCATATTAACAGTGATCACTAAAATGTACATTACAGATCAAACTGCCTCAATTTTCACAAAGTTTAGAATAGAATTAACAGGTACAAAAATTGGCAAAATTGGAGCCCAATCCTGTAAAATTCCTAGTGCCCTCAACTTCCACTGTGTCTCAATCAATCTGAGCTGAGAGAGTTCTCAGTGAAGAGACTGTAGCTTAGTGGAAGATGCACTTGATTTGAAAACATCTCTGTTTTACTTTCAGTAAGAACAATCACTTAAAATGACTTCTAAAAATGTTTTTAATCTGACAGTTTCAACCTTACAAATTTGTCACCTGTTCAGTGTCTTATATAGTACTGCCTTAAATCTAATCACACAGTAAACTTCAATTGTCTGCTGAACAAACTTATTAATTAATAACATACTATGTTCTGTAATTCTTCATATGTGAAGTTTGAGAGCAATAACTTTACAGTAAAGGCAGTACTCATATGTGTGGGAAATATTGACAATCCACCTGTGGAGTGGAAGATGGACACAATACAGCTTGCATTTTTTCTAAAAGCTCTCAGATAATTGTTGCTTGATGCTAGTGATAAAATTTATGACAGTGACCACAGGAAGCAATGTATATTTATTTTAATGCAGATTAATTGGCTAATAATATTTCAGTCTTGTTTCAATTAATATTTTTCAATGAGCGAAAATGTGCAAATGAACTCTGTATGTCTAGTGTGTATATATATATATATATACACACTAATCTAAATCATCGTTCATCTCCTGTTTCAAGGCCTCAAAAGAAACATGAGAAGAAAAAATAAGGGAAAAAAGAAAAATAAACTACTTATCTATTCATTGGTTGATCTTGAAAAGGGTTATGGCTCAGTGAGGGGTCCAGATGCAGCTGGTTGGGGCTTGGTGGGGTGGGGATCTGGGTGTGGGTGACTCGTCGGGGTGGTCCAGGTGCAGGGGGAATGGGACTTATCGGGGGCGGGGGAGGGGAGGCTCGCTGGGAGGGTCTGGGTACAAGGAGGTCTGGATGCACAGGTATTGGATAGATGGGGATCCTTCCCCCTGCACCGGGATCCCTCCCCCTGCAGCTGAGGAGTGATGGGTGCAGTAAGAGTTGGGGAGGAGGAGAGGGGAAGTTTGCAAAGGGGACAAATCTGGGGGTGGCTCTGACCCAGCCCTGGATGCTGTGCAAGGGAAGAGGAAGTCCTGTCCTCCCCAGCCTAGCTGGTACTAGCAGCTGAGCCCAGTGCAGGGTAGGAGCCACCAGAAGGATCTTCCCCACTCCTACCTCCTGCCCAACAGTGATTTACCTCTCTGCCAGCTGCCCGAAACATACTGCTGGGGAGGGATGCATGGCCACTTTTGTGGCTTCCCTTTGCTTCCCTGTCAGAAAGTCATTTTTCTGCGGGAAATCAATACATCTGCAGGGGACATAAATTCTGCACATGTGCAGTGGCGCAGAATTCCCCCAGGAGTAAATTCACATAAACTGGAGAGATAGGTTAGCTCTGCTTCACAGTGGCCCCACATAATTTACCTGAACTGTTGACCTGACTCTGAGTGTATCCTAAATAAAAATAACAATTAGACACAACAGTGTTGTTAGCTTAATTACAATCTAATTTATTCAAATACAGCCTATGCAGAAGATTTCAATTAATTTTTACTGTATGGTGAGTTTTAAGAGTCTGCTATTCTGTTATTAAGGTAATCCAGGACAAAGAAGAAACTGACACATGCTAAATTTCTTAAAGGAACCAATTTGTAATTAATTTTAATTCAAACTCATTTGTGGATTTACTTGTAAACTGTCAGAAGATTCTGTACTTAAAGAATCAGTGCTGTAAATTTTGGGCATGATGCACTGTATTCTTTATTCATAACAAAAAAAAGTTGAATTCCTGCATTTAAATGCAAACTGGAACTCAGTCATAACTGGAGAGTTGACTGGTGTCTTCATAATAACTGTTAAATAAGGACTTTTCTAATGTGATGTAGTCCAGTAAAACCAAATAAAAGGACTGATGTACTTTTTTTAAACCACTTGACACTCTGAACATCAGTAATGGTAGAATTTTCTAGGGCTTTAAGGAATAGATATATTGAAATATTAAACTTCAAATTTTTCAAAATTTAAAATTAAAGGCGCTTGATGCATACTCATTTCAGGAATTGCATGTATAAGTGCAGAATTTGTTGGAATGGAAAAGGACATCTAAGAGATCACCTAGTCTATCCCTCTGCATTTTGGAGTAGAGTGATTCATAAACAATTGCAAAACTGAGTAACTAAAATGCCTTTCTTTGGAGGTTGTGAAACAGAAAAAGGTAAATCAGTGATACTGCTGAGTTTAAATATTTGAAGGGAAACCTCCAAAGCTGATGTGCTTGAAACTTGTTCTGCTGTTTTTTAAAATCTGCTTGTCCACGTGATTTTTTTGTTCAGGAAAAAATACATTCTTTGGTAGTATTTTCTTCATAAAAGAAAACGATTTGTAACTCAACATTGATAAATCAGAGGGTGATGGTATTGAAATTTGATTCATCTTGAACTGTTTTCCTCTCTGGAAACTCCTATTTCCCCCCATCAGAAGTTGATCTTTCTCCTTTTCCACAGGCTTGGGCATGAAGTGCTAGGCCCGGCCGGCTTTTCTCTACTTGACAAGAAGTTTACAATTCTACGCCTGCTCTGTGCTAGGAGGGTTCTGCCAATTTAACTATACAAATATAGTTTAACTATACCTGCAAAACTCTCCTAGTGTAAAAGCGCTTTTACACTAATCTGTGTCAACACTAGTCCTTTTACTGACATAGCTATGTTGGCAAAACTTTCTTGTATAGAGCTGCCCAAATTTGTATTTTTTTTTAAAAGGAAAGTAAATCAAAGAAAATCATGTTTCAATAAATTGTATTAATACAGTGCTAATGCTGCATGAATAAAGGGACATTTTGATTTTCAAACTCTCACATGAAGTTTTTCTTGTTCCTTGTGCATACACAGTATGATGGAATTTTTTTCATTAGTCACATGATGTATGTGTTTGTGCACAAGTGTGCGTTTATATGCAGCAATATAAAATTCTACATATCTTCATCTTAGGGAAAAGAACCCCCCCCCAAGTACAGTTTAAAGAAAGATGCAGAGTCAGGTT